TTTTTTACTTTTTATTTACCTGGTCCACTATTCCATGTTAGTGCAAAACTAACAGTAGATGGAGAAACAGGAGCCAGGAAGAGAGGGAGAGAGATGGGTTGGTTTGTGAACATCAGTCCCCAAGGATGAACACTATTCGACAGATGGACTTATTAGGAGTGACAGATTCCACACCCTCAACACTCCCCCACAGTGTATTCTAGGATCAATTCAACAGTTTTCAGGGACTTGATAATTTGTGGCCATTGTAGTGTACTTTGAAAACTCATACTACTGTTATGAGATTCGTATGTAAACCTAAAATCCATCATTTGGTGAACAATATAACAGTACAACTGCACAGGAAACCCGGGGAAGAGGAGGGAATCACTTCTGGAACTTGGGCACTGATACATGTATACAGGTAAAATTAGTCCAGTCGACTTCTTCCAACACTGAATCTGTTTTTATTTGCCATTTATTATAAAAATTGAATCTTTATTTTACACAAAAGTTATTTTAAAAACAGTAAAGTTTACCAAAACCTACTGAATCTCAGGCAGAGGGATTTACCACCAAAATGCAGATTTACATGGTAAACCTGAGGGCCAAAATCATTCAACTCAAAACAATCTCACATTTTCTAGTAATCCATTATCAGAAGCGAAAACCAATTATGTACATGTTTCAGAATATGTGACAAAGACAAAAAACAAATGCTAGCCTTCACTGTGAAGCTAACCAAAGAAAATGTCTCTACTCAGGATTGGCCCATTATTTTGCTGAGAGTGAAACATTTGAAGTTTTTAAAATATTTAAGCATAAATATTTAGGTTTATATACAACACATATATACACAAACACATCCATTCTAATTCTATGCCCCTTTGTATTTTTTAAATTGCACCGTCTCTGTTAGAGATAATATATAACATGCAGGAGGCATTCCTAATTGTTTTTCTCAGCAGTAGTGTACTATACAAGTCAAATGCAAAATTTAAATATGAATTAATTTCAACCAGAAGCCAGCTCGACTCAGTACTTTGGCTCATATGTTCTATGTTAATGATTTAGGGTTGATGAAATCGTTCATATAAAAAAAAAAGTTGCAGAGAATGTAGTCCGTTACCAAAGGTACTTGGTAGATAGTTCCCAGTGGATGTAGAAGTGATGGACCAGACACAGGAAGAAACCAATTAAATAGGACTCTGCAGTCTTTTCACTGCTTCAGCTTTCATATCCAGCTGAAGATAAGAAATAATTATATCCAGGGCATTTTGCAACAGTTACTAGTTTAGGCCATTTCATGTATATAATGTCTTCATAATTCAAACCAGGATGCAAAATAACTCCTCCCCTCTCCCAACAGCCTTCCTCTTGTTTCCAGAAAGAAATAAACACAGATTCTGATGCAATATACAGTTCCTGAAAACAAAGTGGATTTACAGTTATATTCTCATGCTGTTGGTACAGATGAGGGATCCCTGGATCAGCTCTAAACACTGCAGGGATGGGTCAAGTAGAACTATTCAATTAGGCATAATTATGGGCTCTGGCTTCCCCCCAAATAAATACATGCTCAAGTATTATCGCAAGTTCTCTAGCACAAATATATTTTGTTACTATATAAATTTAAGGAGATGGGTGAGTGGAGAGGGAAAACAAAATACCTTATGTGGATGGGACAATGCTAAGAGAAAGTGACGATGGAAAGAGCATTTGACTGAAAATACAAGGAAATAAAGCTATAAATCCACAGAATGATTGTTTGATTATTTTAATGGTTTCTGAACCCATCAATATTATGCAATACTTTAATTCAACATACAGAATTTGAATCATGAGACACCTGAAGAACAGAAACAAATATTTTCACTATCAAACAATAATGTTATGCAGATAACTCACTGCAGCTCACCGCAGCACACACATTGGAGCTATGCCACAACAATGAGACCTTGAGGATCTCTTATTTACCCTGTTTAACACAAACATTTGCTAAGTGACAGTGAAACATGGTGATATCAGAGGAAAAATGAAGACTGAGGATGAAGAATGAAAACCCCATATCTATGTGCCACACAGATATACCCTGATGTATGTTAGTGAAGGAACACTACACCTTACAAGGAATGCTCAAAACCACTTAGGTTGCTGACCAAGTTTAAGCATTACGTTTTCTTTTAACATTACAACTAAGAGAATAGACTACTCCATGATTACAAGTAAGGAATAAAAAAGAATTAATAACCTACAACCTCTTACAACTTTGGAAAAATATTAAACATATCCAAAACTAATAAATTACATTTTGTATACATGGGGCGTGTGTGTGTCTGTGTGTGTGTGCAAGCTCATCATTGTGTATCTGTGTGTGTGTGTATGTAAATAAAATGAACCAATGCTAGCATAAGCCTTCAACTTTGTTCTGAATAACATCCATATTTATTTTTTGGAAAATGCACTACACATTCTTGGAAATCAAGTATCAACTAAAGTCTTAAAATTATAATTGAATAAACTTAATTTTCTTCATTTAAAATCCTCTTCCAAATTGAAGATCTGCTCCAACACTGCAGTAAAGGTGGCATCAAACATCACAGTTTTGCGTGTTAAGTGGTGGTCTCAGAGTTCATGGCATCAGTGCTACATGATTTCAAAAGTTACCTAAACACTGGAGTGTAGGATTGAAATAAAAAAGTAAACCTAAAAACTATGGCATGAAGAACAACAGGGTTTGCATTAGTTAACCGAACCCTAGTGTTTGGAAAGAAACTTACAAAGCTCATTACTGATCCTGATAGTAACTTGCTTCCAGAAATTTAGAGGGTGATAAGGAAGGTTTGGCTAGTGACTTCTGCAGGTGAACAGAACTGGTGACTAGCCGGGAGGAGTTGTAGTTTGTCAGGGGAATAGTAGCAAATCTGAAATTTGTTTAAAAACTCTTCCTTATAGAAGGGGGTAAGATTTTTCATACACATTATGGCTAATTATATGGCCCAAAACATTTAAACATATTTCCATGTATCATATTCATGTTCCAAACATAAGGTAATCCTATCCAACACTGGAATCGGTACACATGACAATTCTATTGTGCAACAGAGATGTGAAACATTAAAATGACAAAGAACTCAACATTCAAAAGATTGGAAATAACATAAAACCCTAGATATAGTCAGAATCTGTTTTCTGAAATCCTACAAGAAAGTTTCATCAGTTATGCCTGGCTCCCTGAGAACTTGAATGTTCTGACTAAAGGCAAGTTTTGGTAAGAATTGCATTTTTACACTGTTCTTTCTCTTTCAGAATAAACGATAATGTTTTAGGCAGCTTTTGGTGTTTTATATTTTTTATAGCTATTACTCAAATTTCATTTGATGTGAACAATTCTTTTCTCTGAATGTTAGTCCAGGGGTGTGTGGCAGGTGAGGAAAGCTACATTTTGCCATAATTTAGACTTTCATCTTTCTGGAAGGGACAAAGCAAGAAAAAACATACCATACAACACAATTCCATGTTTACAGTACTCTTTACCCATAGTGTTTTCCAGTTTTGTCTAGGTGCAGTTAATAGATTACTTCATAGTTACATCCAAAATGAGATGGCATCACGATGCCTAGACCCATTAGAGAAAAACACATTGAAAATGTACGTTTCCCCAAAATGAGTCAGTCGATTTTATTCATTTTACAATATGCATGATAATAAAAAGTCAAACACAAAGCTCTTTATAAAAAAGAGCAAAATGTATTCCAGAAAAGTTAGACAAAGGCATGAGATGAATTTCAGTTAACCAGATCTATTTCTTTGTGAGCTTTGAGAACTCATTTTAAGCACTGAATTTTAAGCTGAGTGTTTTACATTATAATCCTATCTAGAGATCATGCAGATGGAGAAGAAAGTATTTTGCTTAACTCTTACTTAATTTCTATAGAATGCTTTAAAATCAGTTTTAAAGATTCAAATCTGCACCTCTCCCCTCCATCACAGTTTTTGAAGTAATTAAGAATTGTACCCGTACAATAGCACAGCACTAGGGAAGAGAGAGGTAGATGATGTGGCCATCCTCTTACAAGGAAACCCCCCAAATATTTTAGGGCATGAAACACAAGGCTTTTGTTATCCAAAAGTAATTAGTTGCAGAGTACAAAAACATTTTGGAACAGAATGTGCACAAATATGAGAATCATACGCAGCCAAAACCAAGTATATTAATAGTAAATTCTTAAAGAAAAGGATGTGTTCTCTGTACCTTACAAAACTTATTCTCACAGATTTTGAATCCAAGATTATACAATAAAAATATTTGTATGTTTTACATTGAATATAAAAATGATTAGCAAATAAAAAAGGCTTCGATGATATACAAGAAAAAATTTGAGTATACATTAATTTTTAGGATGCCCCGAGGGTGACATGTCCTAAGTACCCTGCTCCTGTTCTATGCAAAGGCCAAAGGCAGGCACTTTCTCAGGGTTCATCATTGTTGTTAAGAGAAAATCAGATGGAGGAAGACTCAAAACAAGCTGGGACAGGAAGTAAAAATTAAGCCAGAAGGAATTCTGCCTAGCACAATGTACCCTGCCTAAAAATATTTAAGACCATAAATCAAAGACAGTGCTCAGTGTACATCAAGGGAATTTATGTTGATGAGTTTATGGTCTAGGTGATAAATATCAAAAGAGGAAGTCAGTTAAAACAAGTATGCAAATAAGTAATACCTAATCTTCAAAAGATACAAACTGCAATGTAGAGATTCAATAATTTCATGTCCCCATTCCACTCTCCAGGTGCACTTCTTATATTTCCATAAGTTAAAGATCAATTATTCACAAAACTTTTGTTCAGTGTTAATACTTCTTACCTGTTTAATTTAGGGATAGACACTGAGTTGCTTTAATAAGACATTTGGTTATAGTTAGTCATAATTATCCATTGTTCATCTTTATAACTTAGGAAAATTGAGTTCTCAGATAAAGCCCTGGAGTGTACTTTTAAAAATTATTTTCCTCTTTAGGTCAACATTTATCTAAGCATGTCTGCAAACGTTCTGTTACAGGGGGAGGAAGAGTATTGAGCAAATTCTCCTCAACAATCAGACAGCTCCGTTTGAGGGATTGACATCCTTCCAGTTCAGGAGGAAGTGTTTCCAGGTAATTACCAATGAGCTCCAGATGAGTAAGGTTCGACAGCTCACCCACGTGAGGGGACAAGCTCATCAGGCTATTTTTCCCCAAAAGTAAACACTGCAGCTTTTTGCACTGAAACAGCCCATCTGGTAGCATCTCAATCTGGAAAGGGAAAGAAAGAAGCCAGTAAAACTGTTTTCTGATGGCCTACCATAATACATCTATTTATCTATACCCCTACCTTTCCCCCAAAACATTTCTAGACATTTTACAGAGGTACATATAACAATGATGATACACTTGAAGTAGATGGGAAAGATAAAGGAAAAATACGGACATCCTGACATGGAGTCAGGATTGAGGCTACCATGAATTTCTATAAACTCCTGCTGTATATGGGTGGGCAACAGATTTGGCTCTGAACATTCTAACAAGCAACTCTCAATTCTCAAAGGAAACCTAATCGGTTACATACTCATTGTCCCTGAGATAAAAACAAACCAGTGGGCTTCCCTGGTGGTGCAGTGGTTGAGAGTCTGCCTGCCAATGCAGGGAACACAGGTTCGAGCCCTGGTATGGGAGGATCCCACATGCCACGGAGCAACTGGGCCCGTGAGCCACAACTACCGAGCCTGCGCATCTGGAGCCTGTGCTCCACAACGAGAGGCCGCGATAGTGAGTGGCCTGCGCACTGCGATGAAGAGTGGCCCCCGTTTGCCACAACTAGAGAAAGCCCTCGCACAGAAACGAAGACCCAACACAGCAAAAATAAATTATTTAATAAACTCCTACCCCCAACATCTAAAAAAAAAAAAAAACCAAAAAAACAAAACAGCGACTGAGGAGAAGCGTAATTATTCTTGAGTCCTAGTCAGAAATCAGGGATCTCAAGAGTCCTCATAAAGAGTTTACTGTGTGGGATAATGAGCTATACCCTCAAAAACATCCCGAGAATAGACACAAGGCTATTTTTTAGGGTTTCACAGTAGAGATTGAAAACTTTATTCTGTTAAAAAAAAAAAGTTGACAGGAGTAGAGACAAGAAGATATGACAGACAATCTATACAGGATATGACAATCTATAGATATAGATATACAATCTATAGATATACAATAGATATAGATACACAATCTATAGATATACAATCCATGCAAGATATGACAATCTATGCATGCACATTTCATCCCCCTCTACATACACACTCACAAGTATTTACTCTTCTTCCTGCTCTCTGAGAGTTTCGATTAAGTCATACGACACAGAGAAATCATTTAAAATACGATAAATAGCCTGCAATTAGGTCAACTCCTACAACTGCTCAACTGAACTGCTCTCCTATTTGGTGGGAAGGTTGCATTTGAGTTTCTAAGGGAGCCACAGTGTGTATATGAAATAGGGTTTATTGGGAAAAGACACCCAGAGAAGGGCTGAGCACACTCAATGTCCTCAGCTCTCATCCTGCCACTGAGGGGCAAGTGCGCTCCAGGAAGAGATGGATTGCATGCACACCACCCCGTAACGTTTCCCATATTTATACAGGCCTGGACCAGGCATCTTTGCAACTATGAAACAATGTAGGCTCCTTTGTTCCAGAAGTGGCTTTGTTAGAAACAGGGATGAAAGGGGCGCTCCAGATTTCAATCTGCTCCTCTGATGGGCTAGTGTAGCCCCACTGAGCCAGTTCTCTGCTGGAACTTCCGGGGCCTTCCAGAACTGTCTCTTCAAAAGGATAAACATTCCCTATACAGCATAAAAAACTGGTCAAATTGCATTCAAAAATGCTCATTATGTTGGAAATTGCCTTCCCCTCCATCACCCACATATACTCTCAGTAATGGCTGTCCTTGAAAATAAATCTAATGATCACTGTTGCTAAGTCAGCCATGCATTATAGCTCATCATTCTACACCAAAATACTAGGTATAAGCAAAGGAAAATATCTACCCTTTTATTTCATTCCTTCTTAAGAACGCAGATGAAAAACCATAGATATGTCAATTTCAGTATAGAGATATCACAGAGAGATGAGAGACAGAAGAAATGTAACCTCCTTCTGATTAGAGATTATCTGCAGCTCAAAAGTAGTGTCAGTGACGTACAAGTAGAGGGAATGATCAGTCCTGTGCAATGTGCTCAGGGTTGAGAGTGCCTGCTGGTGCGAAAGGAGTGACTTAGGCAAAGAGGCTGGGAAGAGGGAAGACTTGGCTCACCTGTATGCAGTGAATGCCTGCTGGGAGCCTCGTTTTGTGCCAGGTTCCCAGCTAGGTGTTGGGGATAAAGTACTGAGCAAGACAGATGGGTCTTTAAGGTCCATGCAGGGTCTCTCAACCTTGGCACTGTTGACATTTGGGGTGGGATAATTCTTTTTGAGGGGCTGTCCTGTGCATTGTGGAATGTTTAGCAGCATCCCTGGCCTCTACCTACTAGATGCCAGCGCCACTCCCCTCTCTAGTTGTGACAACTAAAAATGTCTCTTGACTAATGTCTTCCGCAGCGTAAAACTGCCCCCATTTGAGAAGCACCGGTCTGAAGGGGGAGAGAAATATGAAACAATTATAGAAATCATTAGTCTACAACGGCTGCTAGGAAGAAGAGTGCCTTAACCAGGGCTGCATCAAGGAATCCCAATCTCCCTTCCTCATTCAGCTTCCAGGCCCCGGCAGGTGCCTTGCTTGATTGCACTGATTTCCTATTGAGTGAAGACCCTAAAGCCGTTGTCCTCATTCTCCTTCTGTCTGGCTGTCAACCCTACCACGTCTCACCCATCTTCTTTCACCTCTCTGAATTTGTGATTTTAGCTTCTTCTCAGCCCCCAGAGTACAGGCGAGGGATTTCACCAGGCAATGAGAGCGAGCCTCTGGGGTTGGCCCCTCAGTTGTGTCGTAAAAGTGAGTTAAGGACTGTGGTTAGCGGCACACTTCCTGAGCGGTAAGTATCCGTCTCAGGGGCTTTCTCCCAGCATCATCACGCAGCTCAAGCACAGGGTCTTAATTCACGTAATGGAATTCAATTTTGCTAAAGGAGGCTGGGAAGCTGTGTTAGAGACTCAAGACTTTCTTTCAAGTCATCAGTTTTATCTTGAAAAATCGACTTACAAATTTTGCCTGAGCAAATTTTGTAAATTTTAAAAAAATGTTTAGATAGCATTTATTTATACTGAATTCACTTAGCATGCTCTTTCTCAAACCATATAATACATGAGCCAGAAAGGAAAACATTTTCCCAGTGGACCACTGATTTCTTCTCAGAAATCAAAAGAAATGTTTACAGACTATCAGATGATAAACTATATAAACAGAATGGTTTTATAGAATAAACTGCATTACATATATTTAATAAACTATGAAATAAACTGAAAAAAAAACTCACTATGGTTACATTATCACTCTATGTCCTAGAATTTTCTGGCAACCAAATACTTTCAACAAAATGTATTGAAGCCCCCAGAACATCCAAGGAAGGATGGTTCTCATCCTATATTCATGGCTGACATTGATAATTAAATATTCTACTGTTTCTCAGAGGCTGGGACCTCATTTCAGAATTCTTTTCAGTGTCAGATTTCCTATTTTTCTGCCCATTGACACATGCTATCTCAGAACATGTCAACCTGAATCTATAAAATCCAATCATTTCAAGAAGCAAAGCTGAATACTTCCATATCTAAGTGGTAATATCAAAACCAACAAGGAGCACTGCTACATAAATGATCTGCAGAAGGAATTTCTACATTATTCACCTTCTGGCTAAAGTCTTTGAGTTGCATTAAATGCAGAAATGGAGAAACTGGAAGACCTAGCTGTAAATTGGAGGGTTTTTAAGATTTGAGGGAGGTTATTAAATCCTCCCCCTTTCCTGTGCTTCTCCATCACATTCAACACCATCATAATCCAATTACACTTTGGCACTGGATAGAGGTGGATGCTGCCTCTTCCTCTCCCATCATCTACACACACCACTGCTTCCCGTGGAACATCATGTGGACTGATGCATCTGAGCTGTAGGAGAAAGAGCACTAGAGCAGGAGCTGGAACATGGGTTCCATCCCAGATCCATCGCTGGGAAGCTTTGGACCTCAGGCAAATTGCTCTGAGCCTCAGTTTCAGTATCAGTAAAGTGAAGGCGGTGGACTAGAACAGAGATTGGCAAAGTTTTTCTCTAAAGGAGCAAAACAGTAAATATTTTAGGTTTTGCAGGGCAAGTGGCAAAACTGAAAATATTATGTAGGTACTTATAATAACAAGAGAGAAAACATTTCATAGATTTAAGTGATGTAATTAAAAATACAATAACACAATTGAGTACAATTTCTCTGTAATACAGGCCCACTAAGGAGAAAAATGCAACTTATTCATGGCCACTGAAATTTGAATTTCATATAATTTTCATATGTGATGAAATATTATTATTATCCTTTTGATTTTTTTCCCCAACCACTTAAAAATTTAAAAACCATTCTTAGGTCAGGCTGTGGGAGGATCTGGCTCCCAGGCTGTAGTTTGCTGACCTCAGGACCAATGACCCACAGTGTTCCTTTCAGATACAAGAGTCTCTTAATCTATATTCCTACTTCTAAATAATAATGATTAAACCTTTCCACAGGGTTTTGTTTCTTGATTGTCCTCTCCCAACCCTTGTGTATGCTACAACCAGAGCCTCCTTTGAAGGTACTGATTCAAGCTAACTAGCACTTTCAGGCTCAAGCCTCACCTCAGCTACTACCCAGTGACTCAAACTTGAACTAGACTGGTAGAATTCAAGGCACTCTCCACTCTGACCCACCTTCTAAAGGCTCTCATCTCTTATTACATCTGCCGATGCCTGTTGCAATCCTCTGGGCATGAACTCTATAGTCCTTTCACATTTCCCCAGTCAATGTTCTCAGGAACACTCTTCTCAAGAATTACCATGGAAAAGAACGCCTTGCTCAATTCAACTGTGTGTGGCAAACGTTGCACACGATATCTCCCTCTTGGAGAAGCACAATGCATGTCCATATGTTAAAGTCTCTGAGGAATCCTGCAGCAAAAATATGCTAAAAAATGTTTCATGTTTTTTTGTGATAAAACTTATTACTATTCAGTGGAGTAAATTCTGGAGTGCCCTCTCAGTGAATGTCTGTCATTTGGGGGGCTGCCCCACATCTTCTATGTCCTGAGAA